GAAATAGAAGGAAGACACTCTCCCTTCTCCCTTTTATCTTTCTCCTAGCCCTCTGTTTCAAGAGGAAAAACAAGGAGTGTGCTCTACCCTTCTCTCTCCCTGTGTCCAATTCTCAGACATCGTTTGATGCCTTTCAAGTCAACCAGATGAGCTTTCCGGTTGCCAGGTACCCTAACAGGAAGATCTGTGCATGCAGGATTTGGCATGAGGCCTAATTACTTTTAAGTCTTAGACAGGTAGGCGGAAGGTGTATGTGAGTATTTCTTTGTGTAAGAAAATATGAGCTTTGAACTGATTTGTTCTCTGTTACCTTGTTCCTGGTTTTTATGGGAGCTGTAAGCAGGCCAGTGGATCTGAAGGATTTTCTGGCACTTTGCCACCATCAGATAGGACAGAGCATATACTCTACAGAAGAGTTGAGTCTAAACCCTGCTTGGAAAACACAACAGTGTTTGTATAATATGTAGTTCTTTTTGTTAAACGGTGATGAGATTTAGTAAATAACAGAGTTCAGGCTTTATCAACTTCATTATTCATTTGAAATGACCTTAAAAAGCAGTTAGCTTAAAGGTTAATGACAGGAAGATTGATGTGATATATTTTAATCCTCATGATCTCGGCTACTACTGTTGATCTCTCTTCACCTATCTAGGATCAAAAAATTGCCTCAAACTTGATTTATGTCAATTCAGCTATCAAATCCTGCTTTTTTTTTTTTTTTTTACCTGTGGCAAATGGCCAAAACAAAGTCTGTCTGGAAGTACAGACTTCAAACTTATGCATCCCTCCTACAACACCTGATTCAAAGGTTAAATTACCTTCTTGGCTTGTCAGTTAGTTTTAAAAAGGCCATTAAGCATTCCTTTGATTCAATTTGCAATGTTTGGGAATCATCCAAACATTGCAAGGTCGTGGCACATGAGGACAGAAGTTGCAGACGCGTGCCATGTCCCATCATGCTCTAAGCCAGCTGACCAAATATTTTTGATTCTCCCCAAAACCTCCTCCAAAACCAGAGGGGACAGTCTTATCAGTTGTTGTTCAAAGTTGTGGCAAAAGCTCCTGATGAGTGTTAGGCAGGCTCCACGTCTTACTGTTTTTAATTCCCATTTAACCCTATTTTACTATTACACTGTCTTACTTGCTTGTGATTTTATCGCAATCCTGTTATTATTATTATTTTTTTTTTTGCTTTACTCTAGCTTTATTTGCATGTTGCTTTATTGTACAGTACTTTGGTCAGCTGCAATTATTGTTTTTAAATATCCTTAATAAAAGTCCCAACTGTGTGTGCAAGTATGCTCAATTTCTTTCTGTCTGTCTATCAGAACACGTCAGGAAATGATGTTATGCTCATTCATTTTGCTACTTCCCGAATCATTTCCCCTCAAACTCCTTCCTGGTTTTCTCTTAAGCACAAACCACAGACATGATCAGGAGCTTTCCCTGGCAAACAATACTAATTACAGATTTTTATTTGTAGTTCTGCCCTGTAATAATGGCGTCTATTGGTGTGTGTGTGTGTGTGTGTGTGTGTGTGTGTGTGTGTGTGTGTGTGTGTGTGTGTGAGTGAGTGAGTGAGTGAGTGAGTGAGAGAGAGAGAGAGAGAAAGAGAGATAAAGCAAATGAGAGAAATAGTCACAAAAGGAAAAACGTGTTAAGTCTCTTTTTTGATATTAAGCCTTAGTTCACCATACACAAACACAGACATAAAGCCCAACTGGGAATAAACTTAGGTCTGAAGCACTGTTCTTATGCAGTGTCTTTGTACTGAGCTTACAGCAGATGAAAAAGTAATATCACCAGTCTTGTGGTGTTTTCAAAGCCAGATGTAGACTAGCAGCTGTAATATACAATGCCCCATGTGAGCTACCTGATGTTTTCCTGTTCTGAGGACACAGCAAAGTTCAATGGGTATAGCATGTAATGGAGGACACTAGGTTTTAAAGTTTACATTGGCCCAATAAAACAAATTTGTACAATGCAATTCTGATAATAAAGTTAAAATGATTTATCTGTGTTTTCTTTTTGTTGTTGCAGTTATTCTTATGAGACTAATACCGCTGTGACAGGAAATGAAACATGTACAACATAAGATGATTGATTTTAATATTGTCAACCTATGATAACTCTACAAGGACAGTTCTGGTCTTAAAGGAACAGGGATGCTAATCAGAGCATCATCAATCTCTATGAAACATTATCTTGTGCATAATGTCAAGTATTTCTTGTAGCCAGGTAAATCTAGAGTCTCAATATCCATCAGTATTTACACTATGAGAAAAAAAAAAAGTACTTTCTACAACACTTTGCAAAAACACAAACACACTGGATCTCCATTGTCTTTTTTGTTGAAGAAATCTTGTATGAATCCAAACCTAGTATAACTTGCATCTCCTGCAAATACCTGCCCACCAATTCCAGTGACAGCTTAAGTAATCTTGATGAATCTTCTCCTGCTACATTTCCATTTCATAACTATTGCTCCTGACTCAACTTGAAACAAGCCACAACTTCTTTAATACCAGAGTGAGTTACTGTAGCCACTGATTGAGGCTGAGCCACCAGATGTAGCTACATTCTTTAAAGTGTTCTTCATGAGGATTTCTTCGCATTGTAATAAACTGTAATCATGAGATTTTCCAAAAAAATAAATACATTCATTTACTTCTAGGTAACTGTCACATAACATGAAGTTGATAAATTAGAAGAGCAGTTAAATGCTTTTGTGAAATCAGTTTTTTACCAGAAGGAAACCTTTACGAAGTTGAAGCCATGCCTCCCCCTTAAAGGCCTGGAAAAACTTCTCCATGCTTTCCTAATGTATTGTCAAGACTTCTCTAATGGCCTTTAAGTCTGTCTAGATCAATTCTCTCTGCATTGTTTAAACTCTGTTGAAAATGCAGCGGTACATCTTTTAACTGGCACCAAAACACCATGAAGAAATGACTCCAGACTTGTAATCTAACAACCGGCTTCCTCTTAGCTCCTGAATTTATTTTAAATGCTGCGGTTTTTAAGGCTTTAAGAGATGTACTTCTGTAATACTTAGGTGAAACTCTGCAGGAGAACGGCAGTCCAACAGTCGTTTTTTTCATGGTTGTTTCACAACTTGAATAAAAAACAATATGCTTCTGCAGCTGTCTCAAATCTGTGGAATAGGCTATCTTTCATTGACGCACTATGTAAACAGTACCAACATTTTAAACTTTGCTTAACACCATTTCTTTTATTAGATCATAATATCTAATAAGAATGTATGTGGTTCGACATTTGATTGTTGTTTTCTTCAAATGAAGGGGAAAATGAGGCTGATGACAGCTGACTGAGACAAACGCCTTGGAGAAATCTACAAATAAAGCAGCACAGTGCTGTTTTCCAAAGCAGACCACATTTTCTTTGTTCTTTTTACTGTATCTTAATTTCATGTTTCAACTGATTCTGATTTGGTCAGAATCTGTTGTTCTAGAATTGACTGCGGCATGAATAAATGAGTGAAAGTATTAAAAATGCTTGTAAGGACAGAGGGTTAGAGATGGTTGAGTATTTTGAGGGATTCTGTTTGATGAAGCAAAAATAGTTTATTCCAGACGACTTTTATTCTGTGGTTCCATCTTAACCACGTGATGTTTGTCTTGCTGTTTTTGTGGATGTATTTTGGTTGTGATAAAGAAATAAATTCATTAATACATAAAAGCGATCCCTGCTAATGCTGACAGACATCAAATCAGCTTTTAGAATTTTTTTAAACATTGTGTCCTAAAAACAGTCAATTGATTAATATTATTAAAGTTAAATCAATATGTGTGGTTGGTGACATATCAAAAAGGTAACAGCACAGCAAATGGAAGCTCAGTGAAAGATACACATGTGAAATCTGAGAACTTACTCCGCACACTGATGTGCTGCCTCGATGTACACTTTGTATATTTGCGTGTATCTAATGATCCTCCTGTCGCATTCTCAGTGTCTCCCACACCTCCCCTTCTCATTAGCGGTGACGCCTGAGTGGATTAACCACACACATGTGCACATCTAGCACACACAGACAAACCAGGCACTAATGAAAGTAGAGCCCATCAAAGAGAATCTGCTCGTGTTAAGGCAAGACAAACCATCATAAAACACTAGAAGCCCCTTTGTGGTAGTAGTGTGTTTCTGTGTGTGTGAGTCTTAGAGGCAGGAGCCAGCAAAGAAGATCTACTTTGTTTTACGTATGTTTATGCTTTTAGAATCCTGTGTATATCTACGACATCTGGTTATTGTTTTCAGGATTATATAAACTAGTAATACACTAAAAGAGATTAAACCCTACAAAAGAAGACAAAAATCAGAGACGGAAATGGAAATAAATATGAGAAGAAAACTCACTTAAGAATTGAACACAGACCAAGATATCTGCCTTTCTGATCTAATGTGATTCAATCAAACTGACAGATGGAAGAGCAGACTGAAAGAAGAGTATGGATGAAAATATACAAGTGGCAATCACAGGCCACAGAAATCCAACTGAGGATGTGAGTGTGATCCAATTTAAACAAACGCCAGTGGGAACAGACCTGCTTAGTATATGCCTGTAAAAGTGAAGACAGTTTTTCTTCTCTTCAAATGATTTCAGAAATATCCTGTCCATAAAACTGTTTTTTAAAAACATTTTACTCAAAAGGTTTGTACAACTGCAAACAAAACAATAGATGCTAACTAATAAAAAGTGGTGTAAATTAATAACAATGTTTAGCCAGATGTATCACAATTGTGCCATAAAAGCATAACAAATACTTTCAGAGACCTCCCTGCAACTACAGACTTTGACCATGATGAAAAACAACAACAAAAAGGCTCATTATCAAGAATGGCAGAGAATCTTACAGGTAACATGTAACAAGTAACATGTTTATATGAGAAAAAGAAAATCCCTCTTATTGAAAAAGCATCCCTCAAGGCTCTGTGATAGGCACAACACTTGTAATATTTCATAATGAATGTTCCAGATGCATCTCTCCAGCTTTGTGATGTTTATTGTCATGGAAACACAGTTGACCTAATGTGGTCATTTGCAGGTTGTTTTTGGCAGTCACAATTGTTCCACTGGAAAAAAAAAAACAAAACAAAACAAAAATAGACAATAATAAAAATCCAAGCAGTTATCTCTGCTTTATATCAACATGAGGTACTTAAATTAAACTTGCGCCTTCCTTTCTTTTGAACCATTTAAAATTTTACAGTGTCTAAAATGTATGCTCCATCCTTCTCTGTATGGATTTTGTACTTACATGATTTTAAATATGAAACTTTTTTTCATTTGTTTTACAGTACACAGGTGTTTCTCTCGATGATTAAATTTTAACTCAAGGGTAAAAAACGGCTAAAATGAAAAGGAACATGTTAGTAATCAATCTCAGCGACTCAACACAAGCTAATTCATTTAAACATTTCTTTAAGCATAAACGTTAGATCAGCTGATTCATATAAGGTTCAGTCATATAAGGTTTTTGCTGAATTTGATTGACAGCAGTGAGAGGTATAACACTGTCTGATACAATGAGGAACATGATATAACATTGTACAGACACTGAACAGGTAGCGTCAAGGCTCTGGTCAGGATTTATTGTCATCTGTTAAGAATGAAGTTCTGATGAATTTTAAGATTATTTGGTTTGATAGAATGACCTATAAATGGAGAAAAATGTAAGTATTTAACTGCAAAGAAAAGTAGAAAATCAACTTACAGAGGACTACATGTTCCTACCTTTCTTGACTTTCTTCGACGGTTTCTTCTTGATGAATTTGGTCATTTCTTGTGCAGGTTCCAGCTCCTCCCCATCACCAGAAACCTCTGCTATTGGCTCAACACCTCCTGTGAGTAAAACATAAACAATAATACTTACATACTATGATATAATAGGTACATGTCTTAATGACATAGCTGAAAGAAGTGGAACATCTTCACAGAAGACAGGCACCACAAGATCTTTGTTTTCTTGTTTTACCAGGTTTTCAGCAGCTCATCAACCTTCTACCAACAAGCTGACGTTGCAAAATCCAAAACATTTAGAAAATCTTTTCAAGTGGGTATATTGTAAAACTAAAATTACACTTAGGCTGCAAATGTTATCCCCTAAGCTGCTAAAATAATTAGGTTGGTAGAAAAAAGTGCCTCAAAGTAAGAAGCAATTTTAAAACAGTTATTTTAATTGTGGGTACATAAGAAAAAAAAAACAAGGTTTTTAAAGGCCTTTTAAAACTTTTCAACGCCTGCTTTAAGATTCACATAGCCTAATCAGTTGTTCTCTAGACAAAACATGTAATTTATCAAAATAAGTAATTTATGTTCCAGACATGAACAAAATTCAGACTGTTTGCTTTCTGATTACACAGACAAAGGAGAAGTTAAAAGTCCTGAGATAAATTTCTTCTCTCCTTGGTTCAGAGCTAAACTTTAATTGGGATGATTCAAGTTGCTATTTACCCTTTGTTTTAATCCAGTCTATTTTTGTTTCAATGTTTTACAATGTGTCTTAACCAGTAGTTGTAAAAGTTTGGGTTTATTTAATGTCATATAAACAGCAATGTCTATATGACGGAAACAACATATAATAACAAATTCGTTTAATTATTTAATAAATAAATAAACATACCAACAATTGACACATAAAAAAGCTTCATGTTTTTTATAAAGTTCCTAGAAGAACTTGATTCAGAACTTGACATCTTCCTTTTTTGTGGATCATTTTTTTCCTTAAAACTGATTTTAAACACTCATGTTTTCTCTGCACTGTTTGTATATTTCTAAAAGAATACGTAAAGATAACGCAAAGATTAGATCCAATTTCAGAAGAATATAAGCGTAGCTCTGAACAAGTGTTTGGATGGACATGTGGTGTGTGTGTGCGTGCGTGCGTGCGTGCGTGCGTGCGTGCGTGCGTGCGTGTGTGTGTGTGAACTAGGATGTGTGACGTTGTGATTGTGTGATTTTGTGTATGTGTGAGATAAAAATCCCCAGCAGAATCCCCTGGATCAGTCTGGATTTAAGGAGCTCCTGAGGCCGATGAATTGGACGCCTTGTCTCGCCCTCTCTACCCCATCTTACAGTCTCCTCCTCCCCTCATCCCTCTGTCTCCTGCTGCCTCCCATCCTTACTTCTTCTGCTTGTGTCTTTCAACACTTTGAGACTTTTTCTCTACCTGCTTCTCAATCTATACCTCAACTCTCTCGTTCTACTTCGTCATCTATCCTCTTTTATTCTTTTAGCCTGGCTCTTGGGCTTTTCCTCACATTTCTTCAGTCCCTCCTTCTCTCCCCATCTTATCCCACCCTTCCCCTGATTTCCTCTGATCCCTTAGCATTGTGTCCAGTTTCAGGGTATTTTCAGTTAACGTGCACAGCACACACTGTGCCATTGTGTATGTGTGCATTTACGAGACAGAGCGTGCATGTGTGTCTGCCATCAAGTCTACCTTAAGGTGTCTGAGAATGTGTGTGTGTCTCCATCTCCCCCTCTGCGTCTACATTTGTGTGTGTTAAGATTATGGTAAGCCCTCTCTAATATTTATCCTGGTCTTTTTTAAAGCCAATCTTGTTCCCTTTGGTGAGACCACAGCTTGTGGCTTCACACACACACAGCCACACACTCAACGTCAGTTGTTTGAAACGGGATAGGCCTCACTCCTAATTGGGCAGGTGTTTTTCCAGGGCAAGTTGTTTTTTTTTTAACACTGTCGTACAGTTCAATGGTACATATGAGGGTGTCTGTTTTAACCAAGGCTTAACATCAACATCAGGTAAGGAAATTAGTCACCTCTGGAGCAGCTTATGCTGAAAAAAAAATAGTAAAATCACATCGCATATAAGCCTTATCCTACGGCTAACCTCACACACATTCCTCCGACTCTTTTGCTTCCTGTAAATAGCAGGTATTTTGTCATCTGGTCAGAGTTTAGTGCATTTCTATATTTCTTTTGGCAGGTCTAATGTCTATATTCAACTGTAGACAGGTTATTAGCAGCTTTACACAGTACAATTATTGTTAGGAGATGTAGTGGCAGTAATTGCTTCCATCACAGTAATTATTATTAGGATTTAAAACAAAACTACAACCAGTTGTTATACTAGCATCACAAACAAGATATGTATAGATAGATTTTAATTTCTCATATTAGTACAGGTATAAAAATAATTTTTGTAAGAAATTACATGAAATGACAAAAGCATCGAAGTTTAACAGGTTACAAAAGTTGCTGCCACCTTGCTTCCTGTCCAGGCAGTTTTTTAGGTCAAGGCTCATGTTTTAAGCATAACATTACTTTTCTCAGACAAATGAGCATCTTTGTTTGTGTACTGGTGTGGAGCCAACTTACAACACTGCACTGCACACAAGAATGCACATTCAAATATGGAATCCAGGAAATTTAAGACTCAAAAAGACAAACTGTTAATTTTTAAATTAAAAGTAGAATGTGTAGAATATTTGAACATAAATGTAACACTTTAACACAACAAAATTTAATATCCAATTTTCATATGAAACAATATAACTTCTAAAGACTTGATGTGGCCTGTGGGTTGCAAAATGCAAATGTCTTCCCTGGAGACTTCCACCCTACTTAACCAATAGATCATAGAAAACCTATAACATATTCAAGTCTTTATTCAGTTCTGCTGTATAAAATTCATTCAAATATTCTTTGTGACATGAAAAATGTTGATTAAATCACAAAGTCTCCCATATTTGAATAAGTTGCAAGAGAAGGAGTAAAAGAAAAATGAGAAATCATTAGATGTTTTATGAGTAGCTATTTCCATCACAATATCAATCCCAATAGATTTTAATTGCTTTAAATGATATCTGCGAAGCACAGTTACGGTCACATCAAAAGCCGTGATCCATGTTTGATCGTTCGGAACATTACAAGTTGCATAAACCAATGCGTGACAACTTTGAGACAGTTTTAGAGCAACTCTGGACAGGCTGTTTCAGGGGTTAAGCTGCTTCCAAAAGACGGGTCTGTTTTGGTCTGAAATGCGGACACACCAGAGCATTCCAGCTTTATTCTGGGCTGTGGTTTGAAGATGGGGGTGACACTGTGCTACTGTGGTTACCGGCAATTTGGCTGTGGGCTTTACGCTTTTTCAGTCCCCCCTCAAGGCACACATGTTCATACACCCACGTGTCCACACGTCGACTCATGTGCCGTACCCGCTCTAACCTGCTTTTGAAGGCACAGATCAAAATTTAGGAAGTGTGTAGCTGTAAATCGTATCTCACACACAGGATATGGATATATCATGAGCTGAATATTGTCTAATATTCTCTAAGCAGGTTATTGACATAATGGTGACATTGGTTGGATTTGTTGAATGATGAACCTCAGGTAGTGGCGAATTCTCCCCTAAAATAGCACCCTGCTGATTTATATATAGCGATGTGGAGGAGAACTCTACAATTTGGAAACCCCACACAGACAGAACACAGACAGCTGCTCAGAATTACACACATAACATGACCTACACTTAAACACATTACATGTAGTTTCCTGTGCCGACCCTCACGTATCCATGCACAGATACATGTATGTGTATGCAAATAGTGAAGGACGCATAAACGTTGCCCATCTTCTCCCCTCTCTTTAATTCTGAAATAGATGCTGGACCCAAACCACAGCTACCAGTGGAAGAAAGTGAAAATAGCCTGTGTGGATAGGAGAAAATGTGCGTGCTCGCTTCAAATGGACTGTGACTTTATTAACTGGGGGAAAATCCCTTGAAATAAAGTTTAAAAAAGTATTACATTCAAAAGGCACGACATGAGAAAATACACTTAAAAGATCAGAGGAGGGCAATGTGTCATCGAGGTGGAATAAAAATGCTCACTGTAATTAATACTGACAATAAGTTGACTAATAATTTTAAAATTACATTAGTAAGCTTTATGCTTTTGGTTTGGGCGCGAATGTAACAGAAAAGGAAAATGAGAACCGCCTGAAATAACTGAAAAACTCAGACAAAAAAACACAACCCTGTCATTTTGCTGCCGGCCCCCTAGAGATGGAAAATATCTTAATTCAGTCAGTGATTCAGACTGACAGGGGAAAGTGTGTGACTTCTCTGGCTTCGGGTAGAAAAAAAAAGATAAAAAGCCACCCTATCTTTATCTCCTCCCAACTGCATTTACTACACCACAGAAGTAAGGAGTATGTTTTTTACGTGCTCGTTGCTTTGTGATTATCTCCAGAAATGAGATATTTTACTGTTTTTCAGAAAATATTAGTTATTAATACTCAAGCAAAAGACACTCTGGAGCATAGATTCTGAAAATCGAGATTACAATCCAAGTGAGAATCGAATGGCGAGTGAAGGTGGTCCCAGTCTACCTTATTTTTTTGATGCTGCCAACAGAAGACGGACCAACAGTTGTGTGGGAAAGAACCAATCACAGCGCAGTATGCTGCTACAACGCCAACCAATAATAATTATAGTATTTCAAAGAAAAGTGCCTTGTTTAGCAGTATGCAGCGGTAAGGGGTGTGACGATACCTAAAACTCACAAAACAAGTCGAAACACGACACCGAGTTAACAAGAATGAGACGGGATTTTAATGTTACTAAATCAAGTTTATGCTGCAATTTTTATTGATTTTTGCCACAAACTCAACATTTCCTTTTATCTCTTCATCATAGGAACAGTGGTTCACTATGTATGGTCTACAGTAGAACATTTTTCAGCATGAGCTGCGATTGTGATGTAGCTCAGCAAACCACTAGACGAACAGCCACTGGTTGTTATAGCGATTCCTTCTGCCTCCTTCAGCATCTAAACAGTTTGGCTGCCCTCACATGTTGTTTGTATGTTGTCTGTTACTCCCGTTGGAAACATAAAAAGCTGGCAAACAAAGGATTTAAGAGTATTTAGGATATCTTCTATCAAAACTTCATCAGGTGAAGCCAGGCTGACTGCAACCGGCTAGTGGTCATGAGACAAAATATGTTTTAAAATTGAGAGATCTTGGAAGTCAAGATCTCGTTACACCCTGGTGAAATAGAAAAACAGGTTTTTGTCCACACACAAATAATTGGAGCCTCAAAGAAAATAAGCTACAAACTGAATGTCACATCCAAACAAGGAGCAATCAATCTAACTTTATTCTATCACCTCAGAAAACAACAACTTAAGGAGATAGATATATATATATTATAGCTATATGTGTTCCTTCTTTATTTTTAAATATTTGAGCCTCTTAGTAACAAGTAATTATAGGCATAAAATTACATTTTTGGGGTGTAATTTACAACCAGTTTTGAAGGGATTTATTCTTCACTACCTCTTCTGGAAATTAAATGTTTGAACTTTGCTCTAGAGCTGTGTAAGACATCTGATCCATTGTATAAGTTTTAGTGCCTCAGTGAGAATGAAAAAAAAAGCTAATTTAAAGTTCTGCTAAAATTATATATTATTACGCAGTCAAACTAATAAAAAAGAGCTATTCCTTTAACATTAGTAAATAAATAGTTAAACCAACTTATGGAAGTTGATTTGTACTAATCCATTGATAAATAGTTGATTTAAAACATACAATTATGATAATGAGAATGTTTCTTGGATGAATTAATTCTGTTCATCTGTGTTAATTACAGCACTTAAGAACAAAAGCTTCCAGCTGCTACTGGCTCATTTTAAACATACTGCTGATGATTTTGTTGCATGAGGCGGTTCTGTTCAGGCGGTTTTTATTTCCAGGAAACTACCAGAAACACATTAACACCGACACACACACTTCCTGCCAGTGAAGTGCAACTTCATGTGTTGTATCCCCAGTGTGTACATGTCTCTTTTTGTGTGGTTGTGGTCTTGGAGAGGGGAAACGATTTCCGTAAGTGTTGTTGGAAAAGCAAACAAGTGTGTATGTTTACAGGCGGGAGAGAAAGCAAGATCTGAGAAGCCTGTTTACTGCTGCGCTCCGTGTGTGTATGTGTGTGTGAAGTTTGGTAGAAGCCCAAAATGAAGTCCAAGACTCCATGATTAAAAAAAAAACAAAAAAACACTCAGTCACTCCTTTCATACATGCAAATACTGTAATTTTTAACCTATTATTTAACGGTATTTTTGAAAAAAGCAACAGGAATTTATGCTAGAGTTGTAATAAGAGTGCAGGGCACTTAATTTTAATTATTTATGAGATATGTCTTATAAATAAGCCCACTAAGTAATAAATTATAGGGTTCTTAAAATTTAGCATTTGGTTGTTTTACACATACAAAACAACAACATATTTAAACATATTTTGTAAACATTTTTAAGTCATTACTTAGAATAAAAACTTAGAAAATCTAGAAAATTGTCCAACCCAGTTGCATATTTCTTGAATTTGTATATACCAATTCTAATAATGTTTTTCCAATGTTGTAAATTTGCAGTTACTGTAAAGTCTCTTTTGTCTTTGTTGTCATAATTGATGTTGTGTAAACGTGCATGCCTTTCACTTTGCTGCTGGTACACCTAAATGTGCAAAATATGTTTCACTACCAAGAAAAAAAATTCCACAAATTCACATTTTTACAACAGAAAACCTTGCATGATTAACTATCATCAACATCAAAGTTTACAGTCACTATATCTGCTTTAGCTGCCCATCTAATTTCATTTCATCCTCCTCTTTATCTTCCCCTTCTTACTCACCTGGAGCAGCAAGATTCTGAATCTGTGCAGGGATCTGGACATTAGCTTCAGAGGCCAGGGTGAGCCGGCCTCCCTTCCCGATGCGATCACAGAGCAGGGCTATGTGTTTCTTGAGGCGGGTGGTGTCTTGGGGAAGGCCCAGCACGGGGCCGCCTGCCTGGGCCAGAGAAGTGGCCTGGTCCTTGGGGCTTCGCGACAAGCAGCTCCGGAGAAGGTGAGAGACAGCCGCATCACAGCTCTCCTCCCAGCCCTGATGAAACAGGAGGAACATTTAACATGGATCACAGAGAGAGATAATGTGTGTGTGTTAGCACTGCAACAAATATAAGAGTAACATGATGGTCTAAATGACTATCTGCGACTAATGTAACCTTTACTTGGATTTTGTGATGTTTATGTTTTAAAAATTATAATAAAAGAAAAAAGCACAATAAAGTAAAACAAGTTTCCAAACACCAGTGATGAAGGAAGTCAGACCAGTGAGGATCTCCATGTTGCTTTCATGAGTGTTGGTAGGATGGAAAGGGGAGATGGACAGAAGGATTGGGGTTTTGTCTGCAGCAAAGTGAGTGCTGCTCCAATTTGTTTTGGTGAACAAAAAGGAGAGCCAAAAAAAAAAAAAAAAAACTCAATTTTTCGGTTGTTGTACATTCCAACCCTCATTTAAGGTCATGAGATATGGATTATGACTCAAAAAAGAAAAATAAATAAACTAACTCCCAGATACAAGTGGCCAAAATGAGCTTTATTCAGAGGATTGCTGGACTGAGGTGTTCTTCCCTTACTATGATAGACAGGTTGGACCTTCATATACAGTATGATAGTGAGATGGATCACATCACAAACAAATCCTGGATACAAGAGTCTGAAATAAACTTCCTCTGTAGGGCTAGGCCTTATTGACAGGGTGAAGGTTCAGAGGAGGTTCATCTGGTTGGGGTTCAGAGGAGAGCTGCTGCTCCTCCTAAGCAAAAGGAGTCAGTGGAGGTGGTTTGGATATTTGATGAGACTCAACTCTGGACACATTCCTTTAAAGATCTCCTTGCACATGGAGACCCAATATCCCCTCCAAGGTCCAGATATTCCTTTTTCACTTGTAAATGCCTTGGAATCCTCCAACAAGCTTATAAGTGTCTTTGTGAAAACAGATTGCTCAGTTTAAGTTTATGAGGCTGTTACCTTAACAACACAAATTTAGATGTGCAAAGACCAACAGAAGAATGAGTAAAATGAGACAAATTTGACTATATACTACTGCATTTGCACCCATTGTCCTCCTGGGAAGTCTTGAATTGTGAGACATTAGAAAAAACTCATTATGAGTCAAACAGAAAACAACTTTCAAAAGTTCATTTTCATCTTAAGTAAGAGGCAAAATGTGTGTGTTTGTTGCATGTAGGTATTAGAGGGGAAAGGGTGTGTTGACAGGTACCCTTCCCCCTTCTAAACCCTCCATTCCTTCCTTCCCCTGCCTGCCGCCACAATGATTGACCTGTAATGAGCCATAATGACAGGTAATCAGCTCCGTAATAATGGTGACAGAGTGATACTGACAGAAAGAAAGAAAGAAAGAAAGAAAAAAAAAGAAATGAAGGGCAGCAGACATAAAGAGATGGTTGTAAAAGGCCTAGGAGATGAGATGGTAAGATATATTAGAGACTGAGCACAAGATGAGTGGAAAGGTGAAGAACGATCAGAGATAATAACGAGGACAGTAGACGAGAAAAATCTTGAGAGAGAGAGAAATGAGAGGGGAGGAGGACAGATGGGAGTTGGGTGACCTGTTTGTATCACAATACCTCACCAGATTATCAAATACTTAAAACAAAATAACTGCAGGTTTCTGTGGAAACTTGGCAGACTGAAGCACACACCCACTGACACAAACATTTCACATACTGTTGAACAATATTTAATATATTTAAGCCTGAAGTGCTGGGATTCATCACTCAGAGGGAGATGAAGCAAACAAAGCAGAACAGGTTTGGACTGAGGGGTAGGACAAGAAATGAAGACAAATTGTCTTAACTTGTAGACTATACAGAAGGTAATGCACATTAATTTTAACAAGTATTGGATCAAATGATTATAAGAAATCACCATTTTATGAGCAAACTATAAATAAAAGCAGCTATAAAAACAACTCCTTCTGAGATTTCATTGGAAATAGTAGGACTTGGTGGCCAATCCTTTATTATATTTTATTTAATTCTTAATTGCAACTGGAAAATAGTGATTTAATTTTGCCTGTTATTGAATCACAGCAAGCACACTTTACTGGGAGCTTTGAATATGCATGTTAGGTTCTTTAACTCTATATGACCAAAACTGTACTTCAGGAGTCAGTGCAGATTTTCCTCTGAAGTGCCCATTCAGTGCCCATTGGAGACATTTATTGTGTTACCAAGGAAAAAAAGTCAAACATGTTGACATATTGGTTTCATGCACCAAAAAAACAACAACTGCCCATCTGGCCTGATCATGCCACTTTCTACTTTTCAAACATTTGCTAAACCTAAAAGCATTACAAAAACATTCAGGACACCACGTCTCACAGAGGAAAATCCTGGGTGGGACAGCAATGTCGCTGAACTGGCATGGATAGCAACAATCCTGAAATGCTCCCAAAGAGACAGGTAAAGGTTCAGAAAGCGATATCCCAGTTCTGACATCCCCATCAAGACTGGGAAAGTCATTTTGGAGACCGGAGTTACGCTTCTGTGACAACAATGTATCCAGTCTGTTTCCAAGGGAAACATCATTCACTTTAACTAAATGAGGGGAATCCTTTATCTGAAAGAATGTTTAAAAACAGGATTTGGTATTACATAATTGCTTCATTCATTGTCGATAAGAGGAAATTTTATCGACAATCAAATAGCTTGTTTTGGTTATGTAACACCAAAACAGGATTTGGTATTACGTAGCTTGTTCAGATTGTTGATAAAATAACATTTTAGGATGAGACAAGATTATTTATATATAGCAGTATTCATGAGAAGTGTTTTACAGAAAAAATATCTAATGAACTGAGAATAAAAGAAAAACTTCAAAAAGACGAGATGCATCACATAAAAGCATAAAACCATAGACAATATTATAATACAAACAAACAACAATATGACATAATTTAAGACATTAGAAAGAGGAAACATATCCTGCACATCTCAGGTTTCCAGGCAGAGGAGAACAGAATAGAAATTCCACAGCTGTGGTTTTTCTCCAGTAAATCCCGGTCAGATTCATCTTCATATGCAGATCCTGCGTTTGGAGCTGGTTCCTATTTTTTGGAACCACCTGATGAGGTGGTACAAGCCCGACATAGCCAGATATTTTTCATCAAACTGATTGGCAGCAGAATGAATTGTTTGATTGCCCTGTGGTTTTACTTACAAGGACAACTATGATGGTTTCAATCTACAGTCAGACCATCATAGTTGGCAAGATGTCATGCTGCAAAACAATAATTGCATGGTCAAATCTTTAGATCCAAACCTCTTTAGGAATTGTAGCAGAAAAGCGCATAGCTTCAACTAGGCGGGGAAACCCGCACCGAACAAATAAATCTAGAAATTTAGGAGAAATTAGAGAAAGTTGCAGGATTGGAGCTCTCAAGGAAAATAAAATGACAAGGGACTGAAAGCAGCTGTGAGGAAAATTGGGACTTTGAGCAAAAGTGATTGTAACATTACAAGCTTAGAAATAAACCTTGTTCTGAATTACAGGTCTAATTTACCAAGATTAAGCAGAACAAAATTAGAGAAAGTGTCACTTATGGATCATATATTGGATGTCTAAAAATCGTTTTTATTGTTATAGTATATGTGTTAGTGCTTTATTCTCGTTATAATTTACAGTCATTCTGATCCAGCCTGGAAGAATTTAAGCATTCATAGAAACCCTGTGTAAGGGATTAAGGGATTTAAAAGCTTTACAGTTGCCAAAACATTGTATAGTGGTTTTAAACACTCATAGAAAGAATTTTACAGCTTTGGAAAGTCATCACAGCAGCAAATATTTGTCTAAAATCACAGAGATTGAAAAATAAACAACGGAAACGTGTGCGTAACAAAAGGCTGACCACAAGGTTTACCAGTGTCAGTCTGAATGGATTTAGATGCCAAAGTGTCCAATATGGTAATATGAAAGGACATTCATCATAAAAAATAAGTAAATAAATGCAATTCTTAATTTTTATAAAACCAGTACCTGGCAGCATCTGCTAAAGTCTGCACGCAGCTCTAAGATTAAAGAAATGATGCTCATATCCTTCTGCTTAAATCTGCTACTCCAATCATAGTTTTTTGCAAGACTGGAAAACAAGAAAGATATTTATATAAACACTAACTGCATGAAAAATGTAAACTGCATAAGGAAGGAAGAGAATATCATAAAAGAAACATCATAAATAACAGCAAAGAAATTAAGAATCTAGAAAACAGAAATGAGGGTGAGAACAGATGGATCTGAAGTAAGGCATGGGAAATGGATGGAGAATATCAAAGATTAAATGATATAGGGGAAACAGAAATGTGGTACAAATCTAAAATGTCAGCAAAAGGTATAATTGAAATAAGATGTGGGGAGAAGGAAACAGGTACTTGAAGTGATGGAAGAGGATGAAGAACAGACAAGCAGGACAAGCACAGATGTGAAAAACTGAAGCAAGAGAAATTATGAAAAGAGCAGCTTTTCTGCTTGTCTGGAACAAAAAAATGTTTAGTTAGCTGCAAAACAGACTCAGATTATGTTTTTTTTTTATTTTTATTTTTTTACTTCATCCCTTTAAGGAGACAAGATCTTTGTTTTCAGGGTAACAGCCCATGAGCTGTGAACCAAATCTGACTAGAGAAAAGATGGATAGCTAATATTATTTTCTCTATGTCAGGCCTCATCTATGACAAAAATGATAACATTTGTAACTGCAGTAACAGTTTAAGTTGGAATAATTTCTTGTAAAACTTGTTGGAAGTCTAGAAGCAAAGTAAGTCTTTTCTTTTCCTTCAACTCTCCTCTCTTTTGTCTCTCTCCTCCTCCTCATTATCTCTTCCACGCCTCTTTGTTTTCTGTTAATCCAGCACTTTAGCCGTCTATCCTCTTCTCTGACTTTATTCATGTTTGTGACATTCCAGGAATTTATCCCTCTTAAAGAAATCCCATACTTGCACTCAGTTGCATTGACCTCACCTGCAGGGTCACAGAAAAGGTCAAAAGTCAAGAGTGGGCTGAGGTGGATTCACACTGGCACCAAAATAATTCCCTAAAAATCCAGAAGATTCTTTATTTTCTAATAAGATTAACTGCATTTTTTTGTAGCTGTATTAATAACAGATAAAACATATAGTCATTCCATGTTAGATAAGACACATCTCCACTACAAATCCTGCCATTTACAGTTTGTGTACATGCATTTGATACACTTTAACACATTAATTTATAGTCATTGTTCATTATTTTGAAACCTTCACTTTAAGTCCAGTGTATAATTTGATGCATTTTTATTTTGGTGCTTCCTGTGTTATTATAAACCAACGTGCTAAAAGTTCAGAGCTATTTTAAGCCAAAATATATGATGATCATTACATCATCACATTTTTATGCACACAGTCACATCACAGTGTGTCGTGTTGTCTGAAAATAGCTCGTCAGTCCACCTGTTTGCCTTAATGTTCTTGACGTGACCCTAATTATTACTAATTCACTTAATGCCAATAATCCAAGTTAAAAAAACAGACACATTTTCAAAGTCCATCGACGCTTATCAGTTGTCCTTCTTAACTTATTTTTGTCCACAATTTATCATTCTCTCTCGTCCTTTGTTAGTTTTGTAAGATGCTTTACATGCAGCTGTTTTGATGTGACTGTGTAATGCTGGGACAGACAGACAGTTCTGGAAATAGACTTACTGGTAATGAAAGCTCCAGGGAACTGATCAGAGTCATGGAAAATGTAACACACTGACACGAACCAAAGATGGGCAGTTATAAAAATTAGAACACTGCACAAAAATTTACTAAGATTGTTCAGTAATTGTAAAAAAAGTTTTATAGCTTGTTTTACTGGCATCTAGCTACTTTCTCAGGCATGTTCTCTTACATGCCTGAGGATCACAAAAGGAATCCTAACCACTTTAATTTAATTTCTAAACCAACCACAATTAAACCTTTAACATGATATTATGGTTCATTAGGATGAAAACTTTGATCCCAATGATCCCTGTTCCAATTAGTGCTACTGGACTGAAAAAAGTGGTTAATCTAATGGAAATGATTCCAATAAAAAATAAAAACATACACAGCTTCTATTGGAAAAGAGGTCCTTTGCAGTGTGGTTGCAATAAATGCTGGAGCTCTGTCAACAAAGCTGTTTATAGAGCCAAGTCTCTTGTAACATGCATAATACACACTCATCACAGCTAGGAGCTGCCACAGCAAAACTCAGACTCTGACTCTTATTAACAAGCTAAACTCCATCATATTTGTCTTGAAACCACACTCAAACAGATTTAACGCTGAACTCAGAAAAAGGTAGCGCAGAAAACATTCACAGTGTGGAGCTGACAGGTGAGTGTTGAGAGAAGTCACGTTAGTGTGTGATTGAGTGTGTGTGAAATCCTCAGAGACCAGAGGTACTTAATACATTTTAAAAGTTTTGAGTGTGTGTTTAAGCTGGGGGTTGTGTTTACCGAGCAGGATACAGATGGATGGAAGGACACTGACATGTTAATTGCCTCCTGTAGGTGTGTGTGTGTGTGTGTGTGTGTACCAGCTGCGGTGTGTCCTGCAACAGCGGCAGCAAGGTGGCCTCCAGAATGGCAGTCTGGTCGGGGGTCAGGCCCTGCCACAGGGACAGCAGCAGCACCAGCAGGTGAGTGGAGCTCCGCAGTCGGACGAAAGCCTGCTCCAGTAGCGCCCGGTTCTCCTCTGCAGCCTCGGCCAAAGCAATGACCTGGAGGAGACGGAGAGGTGTAAGGACCTGTCTGAAATATTTATTTTTTTTAGCTTTATTTTATCTTTATTGATTCTTAAGGAATCCAATTTTATAAGTCACATACAATCAGGGGAGGCCAATACAGAAACAGAATTTTATAGTGAAATTCTGTGGTAATATTGTGACAACGGTAAAGATTATGATAGAAAACAAACTATCACTTATATTTTAGGTAACTGCATAATAACAGTATGGTTTTACCAATCTTAGCTTGTAAAAATAAAAGTGAGTCTTCAGAGTTTGATTTATGCTAACCAATTTTGCCACCAGAAACTAAATTGTGTGGTCTTGTGATTGTGATTGAGAAAGGCTGTTATTTTTTTCTCCATTTTACATGCATCAAATGTTATATATTTACAGTCATGTAGGGTCAATTTGTCCTGTCTTGTACCGCTCATTTTACTTGCTGTTAAAAATAATGGTCATAAGATATTTGTTTCTTTTTTTAAATTTCTTGATGTGTAATACTAAAATACACAACCTTGTTCTCCAGAGGGATGTTCATGTTGAAAATATATTGTAGGGCACTATTTATACCAAAAAACATAATGTTTAGCATTTTTATTTCCATATTTTCTTCAGCAAGTAGGAGGATGAATGGACATCAACTTTTTTTTCAAATTATCAACCCAACATTTGTTGTTACAAAAAAGAGAAACGCATACATAAATAAATTCCAACTTTTTCTCCTAAACAACTATAAATTAAAGTCAATGTGACTTTCTGTACAACATTTACATTTATCCCCAAAAGCTCGAAATGTTGACTGCACAGTCTGTGCAAACAGATTTATGCATCAAGGCTGCAGCTCCTTCATTACTGTCACCGGTTGCTCCCTCAGGTGGCTGATTTACTCCTGTTGATGTTTGCTTAAATTCATCCTAAATGACTTCATCACAGCATTCCATTTCTTAACAGCCACTCACCACATCCCCAAATTAAACACAGTATATTCATTGGTAAAACTTTCAAACCTCATAAATTATTTTTCTCTTCAAAATCCAAAACTATAAAATTGGGAGTTCTGGAGGTTCACAAGATGGAATATATATCAAAACACAAAGTAGGGATTAATATGAAATCTTAGATACAGCTGCTAGTAGTTTCCACTTGATTACACATGTAAATCACACAAAGAAGAATGTTTTCCCTCAACCAATAGATTGAAGTATGCTTGTGGAAAGAAGAACATGGGGATTTTGGAAATCTGAAAAACTTAATCAGCAAACTTAATTATGATAATGTACTTAGCTGAAAGATATTTATGCTGGTTACTGAAACTTTTTTGACTGAAAAGGTGATTTGTGAAATTCAAATAATACTAATGATGTGATTAAAGCTATCAGTAGATGCATAATTTCATTATAATGATATAATGGCATATGTTGCCATCTGGTTAATGACAAAAGATTTATCTATGGAAAGAAACGTAGCTATCCAATTTTTACCCTCAATTTTCTGAGAACTGAGAATCCAATTCCAATGTTGGTGAATTCATTTTTCAGATGCACAAATATGTCTCCACCTTTTCAACCATGGTGATTTGTGTTTGCATTCAGTTGGCTATGCAAAAACAGTCACATTTCTATGAAGCTACTGCATAGTGAGGAGAGAAGCAAGATTAAGATACACATACAGGGAGAAAAAACTAAAGCTTCTAAATTTGATTAAATTACAGAACACTGTGGTAAATAACAAATGAATGCATTAATTAGGCGTTGTGGGAGCAACTGAATCTGACCTATAACGGGGGGTCAATCCCTCTTTCCCTCCATCACTGCAACAACAAAGAGGTGGAGATGAGTGGAGTGGAAAGGACAAGTGATGACAGAGCAAGACGTATGAAAACCAAGGCAACAAGAAAGGACAAGTTGGACAAAGAGAAAGAGGGAAACGGGAGATGAGGGAGGAGGATGAGAGAGATGAACAGACAGAGAGTGAAAAAGAAGAGGTGAAAGCAGATCTGGGACTAATGGACGACTGTGTGTTCAGAGAAATTAGTGATGTGCAGGCCAAAGTGCCAACGTACACCAGCCGTTTGTTTGACAAATGGATTCAGAACCTGGCATTTGATCCTAGGAAAACAGAAAGCAAAGACTTAAAGAGGTAATGCTTGTGTGTGAATGTGTGTGTGTGTCTGTGCATGTGTCTGTGTACCAGGATGGAGAAGTAATTGCCAAAGTAAGCCGTTTCTATTTACGTAATACTAAGCTACAAACACAGGTTAAAACACCAGTTCACTTCCCCTTGATTCCTGTGGTAACCTCAGAAAGTCAATGTGGCTGGGGTCATCCGTAGGTGCTGTGTCACTCACACCTTCCACATAACCCATAAAAATACACCCAACAAAGAATATAAAAGCCTAAAGAAGGCTGACATGTTTCAGGAATTTGTATATGTTTACAGGCTATCTCGGCAAATCCTCAAGAGCTTTCAAATGCACGGTTTTACCTTTATCCTTAAAGAACTTTTTAAAATAAAATACCAGCAGACAGAGCAAAGACATGGCCAACAAGGCCCTCCTATTAGTCATAAAATAAAATACATAAAAAAACTTCAAAATATATAATCATAACTGAAAAAGATGGAATCATATGTTCACTAAAAATGTGTCCATTTATAGTGCAATGGAAACTATCTGGGAACGGTCTGAGCCAAAGCTTTAAACTTCTGAACTTGGTAGCAGGATCATTACAAAAATAAGTTTCTGCAAGTTTCAGAAAATTAAAGCTATGAAATCTAAGAGCATTTAGGATATTATGTACATTTAAAATTTACATGCATTAAGAAAAACAATCTCAATAAGTTAAGTTACCAACAGTCTAATTCTTACTTAATAACCAGTCCAGCTCTGGTATGCAGGGTCAGTACTTTAACAGCTCAAAAATAATATTTCTGCATCTTCAAACAAAGTACAGTAAGTTTCATAAGAGTCATTAACAGTTGGTTTTTAGCAGATTTTTGAAATATTAAATTTTCAAGCCAAATCTTGTGAAATAGCTCTCCCATTATGAGGGAGCTTTTAGTGGATAAAATAAGACTATTTTGACTACCATGTTTAAGCTTAGCAAAGCTGCCAGCCTCAGGAGCAGAATGCTTTCACAGCTTCATGGTTTCACCACAAATTCCTTCATTTGTTAGATTGTGAGGGAGTTAAATTCAAACCGTTACTGAGGCTAAACCTCAACTTTTCAAAACAAAAAAACATCCATATGCCCACCTTTCTTAAATGTGCTGTTTTTACATCACTTTGTGGCAATGTTCTTGTTTTTGTAACCATTCAATATGCCTTAGAGTTATAAAATCCGACTATCCAGAGCCATTTAAACAATTTTTCTTTTTTATTTTGTAGCATTCCTTCTTCTATTCAACAGCCGAAAACACATCTTCATCACTCTGAAGACATACACAAACATGTCCCAAACCACCCTGCTCAGGGGGGCTTTCTGAAAGTGTGGGTGTATTGATAAAAGGCTCCTGGTCCGCTGAAGGACTTCATTGTTGGCAGCTACTGGGCTCCACACACACTCTGATTGATGCCAGCTGAGAGAACACAAAGGTGCATTTAGCCTGGACACACTCATACACACACAACTAGAGATTAAGGAATACACATGTGAGCCTAAAAGCTACATATGAATCGGCACAAATACACATATACTTGCTTAAATACACACAGCATAGATATAAACAAAAAAGTGACACCCAAGATGTTTTCAACACTTTTCTTTGAGGCAAAGAGACAGACAGTGGTACACAGTAGCCGTATGTTAACAGCTGAACTACTGGTGACCTTAAACAACCTGCAGTTGAAGCTGCTGAGGTCAAGACCTTCTAATGTGTTTGTGAAAAAGTCTGGAGTCTATTCAACGCACATAAAAGGGACATTCTGCTTCATCTTAGGTGCTTAAACCTGGTTAAAATCTCTGTGACATGGAGCAACTTTGTGGGAGTGTTTTCTTTAGGACCAGTACCAACACAACCCTGAAATTTTAAATGCAATCTGAAAAAAAGGAGGGAATGGAAAAATTCAATCTTTCAGATTTGATCTATCCTTGCATTTTATTTTACCTCCCGCTCTAAAGAGCAACAAACCACATACAGAAAGTCACACAAGCAGCCATGTTTGTATATTCACACATCATTGCACTAAGATATGCACATGCATGTAACTGTAGCCACAAGAAATGTAGTGAAAAACACAAACAGAAAATCATGGGTACCCCTTATCTACGGGAATGCATGATTTAGAGCACAAACATAAGTAAACATATACAAACGATGTGGCTGGGTTAAAAAAAAACACACCAAAAAAAAGGTGACTCTATGAGATGAAGGCTGCACAGTGGCACAGTTGGTGCACTGTTGCCTCACAGCAAACGGTGCTGGTTTACAGTGCTGGACAATATGGTGGAAAAAATGAGCCACGATTTAAGGGATTCACGTCAATTGATATAAATAGTTATTGATTAGGTTTATTTTTTGTTACTGCCAAACTGGAGATGTGACTTTTCCTGTTTTATCCACAGTTTCCTCTCAAACTGTTGTACTCATTTTCTACCTTGTTTTTATTTTTATTTTTAAGTGAATGTGAGGAACGGTGGTGGTGAAACCTGAAACCTGAAACCTGAAACCGCTGCTGTGCAAGTTACTCAACAAGTTGTTGCCAGGTAACCAAAGAGTGAATGAGTTAATTGATGATTGTGAGAGTTTAAACAGAAAAAGCCTTTCCTTTGCCTACATCCACCAGAATGCGTTGTGGTTCTGGATCAAAGTTCAGAAACATTATAGAACATTCTCTCATAGATATTATAATTTTTTTACTGAGCCGTACCAAATTGCAAGATCAAAAACTAGGAAACTTATAAACATATACCTCAGAGAACTTATATTGAAAAAAAATAATCATAAAAGAAATTCTTAAACCAATTGTTTTCTATTTTAAGGTATTGCTTATA